GTCGAGTATTGGTCAGGATCTGGGCTCAGAGAATGTTAGCGTGATGGAGCAGTCTCAGCTAGAGTTGATCGGAGGAGGACAGACTGAGACTGAGGGAGGTTAGCCACAGCTGCAGCAAGTTGGCCAGGAGGCTCCAGGCAGGACTGTAAGCAGCTGCAGCCTGTTAGCAAAGAGGAGGGGATGAAGTCCACACTTCTTCCTGATTCAAGGATATGTAGAGCAAAGAGGAGGCACAATAGCGGTCAGCTAGACTACTCATGAGGAGGCAGCCTTGCCTTTCATAAAGGGCTGCAGCAGCATTGCCTACTTAATCCTGCCCTGAGGAATTGAATACTGCTGGAACAATGTGTCCAGTTCTGTACCTTGGTCTTGTCTCCTGGTTTGTTTGACTCCCGGACTGCTTTCTTGAACTTTGTGTGTGCCCATTGGACTTACAGTAGTTTCCTAGTGACTCTTGCTGTACTGAGCTTGGAATCTGGATCTGTGCAACAGGGATGCTTTCTGAGACTCTTTTGGGGCCATTGCCATATGTTGGTGTTGGGGGGGAAGAGCGGGCACATAGTAACTAAAAAAAAGCTGATAATCCATTCTAAGCAGAACAGTCTATTAGCTAATTTTATTTGCAACAAATGTTTAGTATTAAAAAAAAACCTTCTGTATGTTTGGAAAACCAACCGGTTGAATTGATCCTTGTTGACACAATCGGCCAACTCTAAAATTAGAACTATTGGAAGTAGGAAACAAATGCAAATCAAAATTATTTTTTAGCTTCTCGGAGAAAGTTGGGCTTGGGGCAAAGGATTGTTTGCATTTCAACTGCAATCAGGTGAATTGAGCAGCGTGATATGCATAAATAAAGCGCCTAATTTAATCCATGCCTAATAGGACACTATGCCTACATTCATATTAGGTGCTGTGAATTGTGAATAGCATTGGTCCATCCCACATCTTCTATGCTTGTAAAAACCAAATACTGCTGCAACAGTGCATAGACTATCAGATGTGTCTCCATGCTGACATGGATGCTGGGGCTTCGGTTTCCATGGAAGATAGTTGCTATTTGGTTACAAGAGAAACAATTGGAAGGAAGCAGAATCATCTTGGGGAGCAGAGGGATAAAAATAGTCATTATATATAGTCATATAGTCATGAATTGAATGCATTTGCAGCTCAATTTCTCTCCTGAGTAACCCAGTCCTTCAATTCAGCAGACATGCAAATGTATCTCAATTTTTGCTAAAGCCTCATTTCTCCCATGTTCACTATGGCATCAACATTCCCCATTCCTGTATCTGCTATAAATGTTAATGTCCTTCCCATACAAAAAGTGTCTGAATCATTCAGATCTTCTCAACATAAAATAGTTTCCCGGTAAAATTTTAATTGGCAATATTTTTAGCAGATGAAAATATTGATGTATAAGCCATTAATTTTACAAGGAAATGGAACAATGTAGGTATCCTAAAAACCTAATTACCTTCATAAATTATATTTCTGACAGCTGTGTAGTCAAGAAAGGGGGAAATGTTCTAATTTAGCTTTTCATGATCAAGATCCATCTTTCTGTCTTCTTGGTACCCCCGAATTGTTCTCTATTAATGGTTTCTTGAGAAGAATGTCTATTCTGCACTTAGGTATGAGTGTAGGATAAAGTTCCTACTGCTAGATCTAGCAGAGGGAGTAAATTGTTTTTTAGCATTGTTAAGCTGATCTAGGTGATAAATTTTCCTTAGAGGAAAAATCAAATACTAAAATTGCCTCACATATTCCTAGGTGAAGTCCGTGCATTTTTATTTTATTATCATATATTCCAAGGTGTTTCCAAAAATAATGAGGCCATTCCCAAGTGCCTATTCAGCCACCTTCAAAGTACAGTAGTGTTTTCCAGATGGCAATGATTAGAGTTGTAGTCAAGCATTTCTGGATGGTATGAAGAAACTTGTCTCACATGAATCCTACATGTGTTCTATGCAGCCCTTTGTTGAGATCACCTAATGTGATGCAGTCCCACTTTGGGGTGGAGGTTGAGGGGGAGGCAAAATAGTAAAAAATACAGGCTCATGTTGTTGCCAATGATGTTGGCAATTAGATTTGAAGCTAATGTAATGGTTTGCTTTACTAAGATAAGGAAAGAGCAGACTAGCTTCCTCAGCCATATTTATGTGACTTGTGGAATTCCCATTAACAGGAAGGAGACAATATTGGTTAATTTCTAGTATACTGGCAGTGATACCAGTTGACTTCAGGACATGAAAAATAATCAGTGCTTTTAAAAAAAACAGTATTTGAAAGTTACTCACTGTTGATTTCTGAGTCATGGCATTCACTTGGTTATATTATGGATTGAAAAAGTTGGCAGCCTCTTTATGGCCATTTAATATGTTTGAGGAGGCTGAGAGCCAAAATATCCCTGGTAGACCAATATCCCTGATATCCTTAATCAGGGTTTGGTTTTCTTATGGATTTTTTTTTGTTTATTTTAACTATTGATGTGCATATTTCTAGGTTTATGTGAGCTTTTATTCCTGCCTTACTTGAAATGGCATGAAAATATATCATCATTGTTCATCAGTTATGGTGAGAGGGGGCCTCCGAGGGCATTGGTTTAAACCCTCTGGATTTAACTCTTCCAAGAAAAATACTTGAAGAATTGATTGCTTCCATCAAGCATTTGGGAAAGTGACCCGATTACTTTTATAACATGGCCTCAGGCAGCTCTAATCTTACATACATTGGCAGCCATTTAAGACATATTTCCGTGTCTAGAATGTAGACCCTATTGCTATATATAAACTTCTAAGATGTTTTCTCACTATAATATTGTGCCCTGTTCATAAAGCTGTCCTGGGAAGTTTTGGCCTGGGAAGTTTTGCTACTAAGTTTGGCTAAAACTGTGAATTCTTTAAAATGTGAGTTTTCTAATATAAATCTTGCCTTTTACAGTATGACGTGTTGTGACTGTTGTATTAGAATATGCTGTATAGTAAAACTGCATTAGAATATCTGCAGTAGGTGAAGTTGCAACAATTTAGATTTGAGAGGAAAAAATGCAGGCGAGGGCTTAGAGTCTTGATAATGCTGTTTTTGCATTCTTGCATACTCTGCTGTGTCATTTCAAAAGATTCTTCATCTGGCACAGGTTAATTAGTAAATCGCCATGAGTCCAGTAGATATGAGTTTGAACACAGGAATCTGCCTTTCTTTATTGAATTAGGCCCGTGATGGCAAACCTATGGCATGTGTGCCACAGGTGGCACGCAAAGCCCTCTCTGCGGGCACACAAGCCATCTCCCCAGCTCAGTTCCACCGTGCATGTGTGCACGCCTCCCACCGGCCATCTCATTTTTGGGTCTCTGCCACGGGGGACAGGGAAAATGTGGGAGATGTGTGCACATGCACAGGGGCAGGGGGATTGCACGCGCACGCGAGGGGGAAGTATAGTGCGCCCTCCCCATGGCCTATTTTTGGTCCCAGGAGGCTGCAGGGAGGCCCAAAATGGGGGGGGGCAGTTGCATGTGCACACATGGGGGAGGGGCAGCATGGTGGGGCACACATGCGCAGGAGGTAGGGCATGCCGAGGGGATGTCACACACACATTGCATTATGGGTGCGCTTTTGGCACGCGACAACAAAAAGGTTAGCCATCACTGATTAGGCCATCTGGTATGTCCTGACATTGATTCTGAAGTAAAAGATAGGCAACTAACACTCTCCAAGTGTTCCGGTCTCCAGCAGGGTGACCAATGGTCAAGAAGTAGAGGAGCTGAAGTTTAAAACATCTGAAGGGCCCTCATTACATTTCTAGATCAGAGATTGTTTTACCTCTCTATTTGGTTTCATCTCACATCCAGCTTGAGCAGAATCCAGACACAGTTCTCTTCTTCTCTCTAAATTCAATTAACACTTCCCAAGCTTACTGTGAGATTTTTAAAAGGTAGCCATATTTTTACTTATTTATTTTTTCAGTTTACGTAGCTGCCCATCTCAAATATACGACTCTGGGTTTGCTCACAATATTGGTGTGGTGAAAAAGGGTATTTCAATACAGGTAGTCCTTGACTTATGACCACAATTGAGCCCCACATTTCTGTTGTTAAGTAAGACATTTGTTAAGTGAGTTTTGCTCCATGTTATGACATTTCTTGTCACAGTTTTTGTGAATTGCTGCAATTGTTAAGTTAGTAACCCAGTTGTTAAACGAATCTGGTTTCCTGATGGACTTTGCTTGTCAGAAGGTCACAAAAAAGGTCGCAGAAGTTGCCAAGCATCTGAATTTTGATACACGTGACCATGGGAGCGCTGCAAAAGTTGCAATTGTGAAAAATGATCACTTTTTCTGTGCTGTTGGAACTTTGAACGGTCACGCAAATGAACTGTTATAAGTCCATGACTCACAAGTATATCAAGATTGTTGTGAACAGTGTCATGGTGGACCTTTTTACCCCGTTTCCTCTCTTTTTGTCTCATGAACTGCCTGGCGCTGTTGAATCAGGAAGAACACACACAATTTGACATCCATTTGCACACGCACTGCTGAATGTTCCCATAAATCTTTTCCCATTCCAGCTCACGTTGAAAAGGAGGAAAGTTAAAGCTATCCATCCCTTCTCTTATTAAGATTGGGCGAGTGGGGGTGGAAATATGTTCATTGCAAGGTGCAAGCAAGCATGGATTTGCACAATATAGAGATCAGAGAGATTGCCTAAGGATTTAGAGAAATTGAGCCTTTCCTCTTTCTGCATGAGGAGGCATTGTTTCCATTAGGAATCTAAACATGGAATCTTTCAAGAAATTAAAAACAGCAGATGCAGCATCAGTCACTTAGAAAATCTGTCTGGCGGAGTTTGTATTTTTGAAAAGCTCTACCAAAGTCCAGGTGGTTACGGTTATATTTGTTTGTTTGCAATACTGATTTCTTTTTAATGTAAAAATACATTTATTATTCTGTGGCTATGTTAATTGTCTCTCTCACACACACACCCTTTTATTTTGTTTTAAAGATGCAAATGTTGGACAAATTTCCAATGGAAGGAGGACAGAAGGACCCTAAACAAAGGATAATTCCCTTTTTGCCAGGTTTGTAAGGTGAACAGTATAGTTCTCAATTGAAATATTTTTATATATTTTTTTCTATCTGTGTCTGTCTGTCTATCATATATTTACTTATCTATCTGTCCCTCCCTCTTTCATCCTCTCTCTCTTTGTCAATCATCTATTATAGATTAATATAGCTCTTTATTTCTCCACTTTTCAATAACAGTAACAGAGTTGGAAGGTAACATGGAGGTCATCTAGCCCAACCCTCTGCTCATGCAGGAGACCTATACTATTTCTGACAAATGGCTGTCCAGTCTCTTCTTAAAAGCCTCCAGTGTTGGGGCACCCACAATTTTCGAAGGCAATTTGTTCCACTGGATGATTGTTCTCACTGTTAGGAATTTTCTCATTTCAAATATATTGACTACAAATTTTGACCTCCATCAGATTTGGCCAAATAGTCATGTTAACTAAGTACGACGGGATTTTATGTCAACACATTTAGACATTTGAATGGAGATTTGTGATTAGACTGATATATGCTGATAATGTATCATAGAATTTAGTTACAAGATACTTAGATATTTTGCCTAGGGTGAAATCGGTATGTGGATGATACATAGCTCTTTTTTCCCCTTTCTGAAAAGATCATTTTACAATGGAGGAGAGAAAACAAATTGAAAAAAACCCCAGATAAGATTAAAGAACTATGGATGGTTGTTTTAGATCTGATTTTAGTTGGGACTATATACTTGATGAAGATCAGACACTTGGGTATTCTGGGTATTCTGACACATTTCCTGTATGAGAACAAATAGGAGGATAATCTGTGCATTGCCATTGCCAATTAGACCGATCCAATTAATTGTAATCTGGTAATGGGATTACTACTAAAATGCATTGCATGTGATGCTGCCTTTAAAGATGCTTTAGAAATTCCAAGTAGAACAAAATGCATCTCCTAAGATCTCCTTATGAAGCTGGATATTCAGAACAGATCACATCAGTACTCAACTGTTTCTGTTTAGGGTCTATGATAATTTGCCATGGCCAACTTGTTGTGTTCAACTCACTAGGGCCAACTCACCATGGGACAACTCACTGCAGGACAAGTTACACTAATATCAAAGAAATGGAGGAGTAGAATTGTTAAAGAAAGAGGGACAGAATGACAAACATTAAAATAAATGTGTATTTATTTTAAATAATTGTATTGTTAAATTGTCCCATGGCAAGTTGTCCTGCAGTGAGTCAGTCATGGTGAATTGGCTGCAGAGACTTGGCTGTGGTGAGTTGTCCCATTCCATTGTGTTTGTTGCCTTTTTGATTCTATATTGTGTAATCTTCAGAAGGCCATTTTGGGACTATGCGGTATAGTATTTCAGATTTTCAATTGAACGTGATAATGGAAGAAGAGCTCAATATATGTGGGAGTTCTTTAAAATTGTAGTATTAAAAGTACAAAAGAAAAAAATATATAAGAGGAGAAACTGTTTTGAACAAAAATTTGATGGATATCTGAAAAAAGAAAAAAACATATCATAGAAATATAAAGAGAATTGGGGGGAAAATAGTATAGACAAATATTCTAGAACTGTAGATTTAGTGCCAAGACAACATTTAGAATCAGCTGGGATCAGGAAGAAGATTGATTGATTGATTTTATTATCATCAAGTCATTTTTTTCTCCTAGCAACCACATAGCTTGATTTTTTCCAGAGGAACTGAAGCAAATTCAGAGAAGGGCTGTGGGGATGATCTGGGTTCTGGAAGCTAAAACCTACATAGAGGGCTTGAAGGAAATGGGAACATTTGCCATTTAGAAGAGGGTGAGACTGAGGGTATTCCTAAATATTTCAAAGAATGTCACACTGAAGAAATGGGAGATCAATTTTCTTTTACTTGAGAGTGTACATCATGGAATAATAGATTTAAATACCAGATGGCAGGTTCTGATTAGCTAAAGCTTCTAATAGTAAGACTAATATATCCTTGAAACCAATGTTGAATTGTCTCATATTTATAAATCAACTGTAGACAACTTTATTTGGGTAGATTAATTTGGATTTCTGTACTGAACAGGGAGATAGACCCCCATGGTCTGTATGTGATCTTCTAATCCTATGGTTCTCTTTTAGGGTTACAAATAAACTTGTTCACAAATACACAAATATACTTGTTTTAGGGTTACAAATATACTATTGACTCTTTTGATTCAGATTGATGGAAGTTGCATATTTGGAGGAATCAAGGCTGGGAAGGGTGGCTTTAAAATTCTGATTCTATTAGGCAACTGAGCACCCAAAATTTCAAATCATTATTCTTCCCCAACTCTCTCCATTGCCACAGTATAGTATCACAGATTTCCAAATAGCCTTATGCTGTTTGAATGTGTGTCTCTTTCGGCTTTATTTCCATTAAAACATTCCATTATGCAATGATGATCTTCCTCAGATATGGGCAGAATTGCAACTTAGTAACCATCATGGTTATTTCCAGGTTGCATTTTAATTCCAGCTGTTCCCTGGATTATGGTAGCAGCAAAGCAAGACTCACTCTGGCATGAGTGCAGAGAAAAAGAGTATGTTGTGTGGTTTTCCATACCAGCAGAATGAAATAGGAGAGATATAGCAGCTTGCCAGCATCTCCTATTTGAACAAATAGAAATTACAGTTTGAGTATATTCTGTTTCTGAAGCATTGTAACCTATTTTTGGATAGCTCAGGGAAATTTGTTTCCAAAAAGGTTACGGAAAGGGTACAATTTGTTTGCTTGGTGCCTTCTTTCCTTTTGGGAAGCTTGGAATTTCCCCTTTTTATGGAATTAATTTACAATGGAAAGCAGAGGTGAAGGTGATGCTCTCCCAATGTGAGTTCCCAACAGAATTTGGGGAAATCTATAAAAATAATCACAAATGAGGAATTCAATATACAATATACCGACCTCTGACTCCATAAAATCCCAGTAGTGGAATGGACAGCCCCTTCCTTCATTTAAAAAATCCAGTTTGAATCATTCTTGAAATCTGGTATCTGCAATTGTCTGAATGCATCCTTCAGGAAGCCATCAAACTGCTTATATAAGTGTTTCTTCACCTTAGCAACTTTGAGATATATGGATTTAAATTCCCAGAATTCCCCAGGCAGCATGCTGTCTGAGAGCTGAGGTACACATATCTTAAAGTTGCTATGATTCTGATGAGAAACACTTGGCTTATACTCTTAGGAAACTTTGCCTGATGTTCAACCAGAACCTGTTGAATTCCCTCTGCCTTAAATGTTAAGATTTGAAGAAATGTTACCAGCTTCTCTGGCTAAGACTTGTTTTGAACCTCTGGGAGATCTTTCTTGGCCAAGGAAAGCTTTTATAGGCTGAGGTTTATAAATGGTTGGAAATAATCAGACATTCTGTGTTTGGCACTTTTGCAAGGGCAGAATGATGTAGGTCTGCAGTTCCTTGAATCTTCTCCTGTTCATCCACTGGAACAAGTTCTTTTATTTCAAACCCCAAATGGCTGGGAAACTCAAGACCGGAACCAGAGTTTTCTGTATCAGTTGTCACTTATGACTCTTTCTGAATAAAAAGTGAAGCAAGAGGTAATAGCTTTTGTGTTTGGTTGCGTAGATGTGCTTGTATATGTATTTTGGGAGCGATAAAGTGTTGGTTTTACAGTAGAGAGCCTGGGCTTCTTTGCATTCCAACTTTCTCCGGTTATCACCCTTCTTATATTCTTCCCTTCTGTGCAGTTTTTCTTTTAATAATACCATACCAACCCTTGAATTTCAGTACCATTGTGGGAATTTGGCTCTTGCTTTATAATTCGAACATGCTGCTTTCTGGGAAGCCTTGGGTAATATTATACATTGTGGTTCCTGACGTCTGAAAAATGTTTCCAGTTATCCTGTCTACCCAGTTGCCTCCAGCTTTTCTTTCTTTTTTCTTTTTGCAAACCTCTAACACATTTAGATTTGAAACCTTTGATAGGAAACAAAACAGTCGATCAGCAGCTTTGAGTATCTTTTCTTATCTAAGGAAGGTATTTTTAATGCCATAAATATTTAAAATTACATGTTAAAGAATAGGCTGCAATGGTTTTGCTATGATTACTTCACATTATCGTTTGAATGTGAAAGAAATATAAGGAACTGGATAGAAATTGGGAAACATACAAAAATGAACACAAGATAATTGAGCTTGCAAAATTAATTACAGGGAAAAAATCATGCTTAACTTTAGTTTTTTTTTAAAATAAAAATATCTCTGTCACTTGATTGCCAATCCATGGTTTAGTTACAAAAACTATTTCTAAGATAGCAGGATTGTTCCTTGCTTTTCCTCATATTTATCTTATTACATTCTTGGCACCTGCATCATAGATCCTGTATTTATTAAATTATTAACTGTTTTGTGTTTGTGTGTGTGTGTGTGTGTGTGTATAAAATCTATGAAAACAAATTATATTCATAGATTTTCACGAGTGTAGGTATGCTGCACCCGAATACAACAAGACCAGCATATATGCTCTGTGTGTGTGTGTGTGTGTGTGTGTGTGTAGATAGATAGATAGATAGATAGACAGAGAGAGCGAGAGAGAGAATTTAATTTCAATTGAATAAGATGGTACTCTGATAAATGAGAAGACTTTAAGCATCAATAATCTGTAACAGCTGATTGCATTTTCATTAAGACAGGTTATAACACTTAAGATTATAATTCTATACCCCAGATAATAAAACTGAGATTTAAACAGTTGAATTGGGCCTCTGTCTTCTGGACAGACTACTCTTTAAAAAAAATACTGGATTGCTTTATAATATCCTGGAACCAGAGGGCAACTGAGGCTTCAGACAGGATCATGCCTTTATGGTTCTCTTTACCCCTTGGTCCCGATACTCCCCATGGTTTATGGAGGAGCTATGGGTTCTGAAATGGGCTAAGGGAGGGTTAGAGAGCTGCTGGAGGAAAACAAGGATTAGTCTGACAAGACATAACTTAAAGCTGCTATCATGGCGGTAAGAGTAGCAAAGCACCATTGTTTCTCTACCCTAATTGCATCCATAGGATGTCATCTCGGTGACCTTATTCAAAGAATTCTGGCCAGTGGGATCTGGAAGAGCCATGGCTCCTGCCCTTTACACTATCATACAATAGTTTCTTGTGGTGTGATCTGCACCCACCCTTTTGGCCTTCTGGAAGACCTGAAGACCTGGCTCTCCAACTGTTCTGGGGCCCCAATGAGGGTTCATTATTCTGGAGGTCCTCAGTGGACTAAGATTAGAACCCACCTCCCCTTGTGTGCATTTTGCTCCCTTCCATCCCTCTTTATAGATTTTAAACTAATTTAATGTTACTATTTATTGTTTTTATTGTTTTATTTTTTTTAAATCATTGTAAGTCATCTAGAGTTACCCCAGGTGAGATGGGCAGAAGATAAATGGAATAAGATAGATAGATAGATAGATAGATAGATAGATAGATAGATAGATAGATAGATAGATAGATAGATAGATACATAAATACATACATACATACATACATACATACATACATAATGGAATGGAATGTCAGCAACAACATCTACTCAGCCATTTTGTTTAAAGGTTTAATTAATAGAGGAGGAGGAAGATGAAGAGGGAGCACTCTAATTATCATCATTGCACACAATGTTTTGAGGGCAAACATATGAAAAGATATGAAGTAGGGGTGCTTTTCCATCCATCATGATTCCCATGTAGTTTAGAGCCATAGATAATCAGTAATCTAAGATGTCTCTGATCCTGGATGCCACCATCGGTTTTGAACTCCTAATTATGGCACTTCAGCCAAACAGTGATGGCTGGAGGAATTAAAATAATCAAAATTCAGCACATCTGAAAGACACAGATTGCGGAATAATGACCTAAACTAGTTATTGGGGGAGCGGGGTGTTTTCAAAGTCTAGGAAACAATTCTAGTGTAAACTGGAAGTCATTCTTTCCATAAATTGCTTCTTTAGTTAATTGTTTATCAAATGCACATACTTGATTACAATGAATACACAAAAGCAAAGACTATGATTAAAACACCATATGTTTAACACAAAAGTTGGCATATAGAAATGCCTGCATGATTTGCTAAATATGGAAATATATATGCAATATATATGCTAAATATGGAAATATATATATTAGGGTGGCATGGAGAGGAAATGCACAAGGGGGGAAATCTGGACTAACCATATACCTAGATCTCGCCAAATTCCTCAGGAAACAACTTTTACACACAGAGCTGAGTCTTCCAAACATTGTCTTCATTGTAATCTAGAGCGTGTTCTCACTAGTAGTTTCCTAAAAAGGCTAAGATGAGCTGCATGGAGAGAAAACTTTGCCCAAATTTGAAGTGTTTACTTTTAGCAGTAAAATTGCCTTGATCTTAGTTAAACCTCTATAAAACAATACTTGAGTGAAGAAATGATTTAACACAGTATGCATGAATAAGTTCAGTCAAATCTATGACCTTTCTTATAAAACCTCAGGTTGACAAGTCCTTACACATAGAGTTTATCCATTCCATTATTTATGTGGTGTCCCCACCGCGAGCCATTGTGCTCCTTTCTCCAGTTCTATCCTCACAATAGTAACAGTCTTGTACTTCATAGTTTGAACTGAGTGTGACTACCTCAAAGTTGCCCAAAACTACCATGCTTTTGTGTTGATTTCATCATGCTTTAGACAAAATCAGAATGTGGCACTCAATCCTATTTAGTACAGCCTAGTGCATTGAATCTATAGGCTCTAAGTAGTGGGGAATCTGCTTAGCTAAGTGCATAATACGGTAGTCCTCAACTTACAACAGTCTACTGAGCGATCTTCCAAAGTTACAACGGCACTGAAAAAAGTTATTTATGACCATTTTTCACATTGCAGCATCCCCATGGTCATGTGATCAAAGCTTGAATGCTTGGCATCTGGTTCATATTTATGATCGCTGCAGTGTCCCGGGGTCATGTGACCACCTTTTGTGACTGACAAGCAAAGTCAACGAGGAAGTCCGTTTCAATTAACAATGATGTTGCTCATTTAGCAACTGCAGCAATTCACTTAACAAGTGTGGCAAGAAACGGGGCAAAATTCACTTAACAAACATCTCTCTTAACAAGATAAATTTTGGGCTCAGTTGTTGTCATAAGTTGAGGACTACTAGTACCTGTGCAAGAAAATATTATTAAAATTTATTAATGCTCCACTTTGCTTGAGTTCTGTGGAGTCTTATGCAACATTTCGTGGTTCATGTTGTACCCAATCTGCAGTGTAGAGAGACTTCTGTTACAATGGCTGTTTTCCATTTCTCTCTCTTGTTTTAACCAACTCCATCCAATAAAACTGGTAAATTTATTTTATTTTATTTATTTATTTTGGGTTGTCAAGCCAAGGTGGCGCAGTGGTTAAATGCAGCACTGCAGGCTACTGCTACTGCTAGATCAGCAGTTCAGCGGTTCAAATCTCACCGGCTCAGGGTTGACTCAGCCTTCCATCCTTC